AAAAAAATACCTAGATGACAGGTAGATATTTTAATGGGGGTTGGAACACCTCTACCTAAGAAACTATAAGTTCACTTCCTCATAGGTTATTACAACTGTATTGTACTGTTCATAGGAGCTCCAAAGACCAGGGGCCTACAATTCATAGCTAATAGGGACAAGTCTTTTTGCACTACTGACTCAGTGAATATTCCTGGCTACTTCCCAGCAATTTTTTGTACACACCCACAACAGATGCATGCAAGTGAGGGCAAGTCTCTCAACTAATTTTTTATCTGTTACACTGCTAGGGGGAGGAAGCCCTTATTAAGTGTTGGTAACGGCTTTGTTTTTGTTTATTTGGATTAAATTATTTCAAATTCTATGAGTTGAGGACTTTTCCATTGTATGTGAGTGGAAAGGTAGCTGTTTGTGTGATAATAAGGGGAGGGTGTCTTATTATGAGAGAGAGGCACATCTCCAGAATGGGGTGGTGGTGGCATTTTTGCTAATATTTGCATTTATTTTGTTTGGTTTTTCTGGATTTCCTACACATTTCCATTTGATTATTTTTGCATTTATTTTACTACAAAAATGAAGCATCAGAGTCTTCTGTTTTCTTAATATTTCTGGAAAAGTCTTTGTCTTTTGGTTCCTTTTGGTCCTATTCTGTCTTATCTTTATTTGCATACTATGCTCAGTATTTTGCCACATGATGCCTGCATATTTCCTCTTGGTCTTTCTCTTCTGGCTTAGTGCAGTCCCCAGAGCATCACCAGTCTGGTGTCTCTTCAGCATGCTTCCTTTCCATTTGCAACCTATTTTCACATTCTCTTTTTCTGTATTCTGCCAGTGTGTTGTGCTGACAGGGCATCAGACCTGCAAATTGAAATTAAATAAATTCTTTTGGAAGAGTCCCTTGCAGATACAGGCAATAATACATGTGCAGAGGAAGGAAGCTGACATCTAGTTTGTCATGGGGTTTTTAAAAATTCAGCTGCTTCTCACGTGACACCCACTGCAAGGTGAAATTAAGAGCTTTTGGTGTTTACTCCAAAAATTATTTGAAGCATTTAAATGTAATTGCATTTCACATCCAGACTGAACAAGTGGTTGTTCTGATATGTTTTCACTTAATGATGACTTCCCTCTTATTAATCAGCAGGTAGATTTATAGCAACACTTCGATATATAAAAGTGGTAACAGCGTTCCGTGCGCCTTGGTGTTTAGTTATGCCGGCCGCATGACCACGGAAACATCTTCGGACAGCACTGGCTCTTCGGCTTTGAAACGGAGATGAGCACCGCAACGTTAGAGTCGGATTCGACTGGCTTTCGAGCAAGAGAACCTTTACCTTTACCTTTACAATGTGTAATTCCATCCTTTGTTGCTGCTTCTTTTCTGCAAGTCACAGTTGTTAACTGTTTTTCAGTTGTCTCCACATGAGAATAATTCCTGGCTATGGACTCAATGATGCTGTTAATGCAGAGGCATTTGCAGCAGCAATGGAGCAGCAACAGGGGGTGATTCACCATCCTTTCCTCACTATTCATTTGCATACACAAACCCCACACTTCCCTTGTTCTGCCAGAGGTCTTTTTGCTAGCTTTTAAAAATCAGTGGTAGGTATACTGTTCTAGTATTCCAATGATATATCTGCTACAATTTTTTTTAATGCCAGCAAAAAGCTCATAGATGGTGATGGGGTAAGGAATGGTGGGTGGAAGGGGATAGGGAAAG